ATGTTTCAACACCGAATGTTGTCGATAATTTTTGCCTTCTTTGCAAAACCTCTCACAATGCTGCAATTAAAGATGTAACTGCCGAGTTTGACCCTGATTTCAGTTAGGTGAAGTTTTGTTTATAGAAAAGCCCCGAAGTTACGGTTTTTAAGATTTGTAACCATGATTGTCACAGAACAGTTGCCAACTCAAGGGCCGGGTCTAGACACTCACTGGTACCCTGACTCATTCATGCAAGCGCCCTCAGATAACCTAGTGCTTTTCTCAGTTTTCCATTTCCTCCTTCCAATTTTAACTTCCATATACTACCTTGTTTCTTCTGGGACTGAAAAGAATGAATCAGATGTATCGAGAGAAGGCCTGGAGGCAGTACAATAGAGCAAAGATAGTCTTTTCAGCAATGGAGGCAAAGACTGTCTTCTCGACAAGAGAAAAGACATGGAATAGGTGACTTCCCGAAGTCCCTTCCAGACTAACTTGTACATGTATGATATTTACTGACGTTGCCTCAGATTTAGCTAAGCGTGGTTTACAGATAGTTCCCATGGTTACATAAACATTGTATGTGTTAACTTATAAATTTTGACACTAACTGATGACAGGTGGCCTGTGTGCAAAGACAATGGTATTTAAACAGAAGGGAAGTAAGGACAAAAAGGAGCTAATGAACATTGAAAAGTGGTAAAGTTAATAAATTCATGGCATAAATTAACTACCTTGGCACTCATAAATGTTTCGTCTGGGTTCCTGAGCATCTATTTACTTAGTCAAGGTTAAAAGCATTAAGAAGTGGGGGAAAGGTGGATTGGATAGGAGAACTCTGAGAAAGCTCGGAATAACTACTATTTCAACATGAGCGGAGAGGACAAGTAGACCACTAGATTGAAACCAAATTCCACAAGGAGGCAGACAGAGAGCACTGAAAGATCTCAGCAAAGAGAAGTGCCAGATGTGAAAAATCAACAAGTTATAAACCATCTGAGTAGAATAACAAGGGAAATAGGAGTTAGAAGTGTGAGAACGGTAATTCAAAGTATTGAGAGTAGAAGTTAAACATGCCAGATAAACTACATGTCACCATGATGGAAATGTTTTATTTTACACGGTCTGAAACACCAATTCTGAGAATTGCTCTAAGAGTTATATAGGAAGCAAAAAATAAGAAAAACGATGAAAGTAAAAAACACAAACACCGATCAGAGTGCATATATGAGATTATAGCTCAGTCATGGCATGTACATTGGTGGGGCCAGTTTAACTCACCAGTGTGGTAGACGGGTTAAAATTGAGAACATTTGCATACTGAATAACCTTATTCCATTTGATACAAAATTGTGCTCTTTAGAAAGCATGCACGAAGTGGGGGAGGGGCAGAGGGAGAGGGAGAGAGAGAATCTTAAGCAGGCTCCACGCCCAGCATGGAGCCAACACAGGGCTCCATCTCAAGATCCTGAGATCTTGACCTGAGCCAGAATCAAGAGTCAGGTGCTTAACTGACTGAGCCGCCCAGGTGCCCCATACTGTCTTTTTTAATACTGATCATTAACTCATCACAAGGACAGACTTCTGGTAAATTGTGCTTATTTTGAAATGTCTTAGTCACATATGGTTTTATACATATTAAATATTTCACATCTAACTTAAACAGGGAAAGAGAATATAGACAAGAGAGAGTTTTTGCTTTTTTAAGATAGCAGGTAATGGTGATGAGATTGATCCAATAAGGTTGGTGATGGTAAAATCAATATACAGGAGGAAGAAAGGACACTGGCAGGAATGAAATCCTTGAAGAAGCCTGAGGGGATAGAATCCACGGCATTAGAAGAAAAGTTGTCCTTAATTAGAAGCAGAACCATTAGACAGCTGACATGGGTAGAGATGCAGGTAAGTTGGTAGGCGTGGTGTTGGGAGAGTGCATCTTCTTATTGTGTCTGTTTTCTCAATGAAATGATGAGAAAGGACCTTAGCCCTGGTGGCATCCAAAACTTGTCAGGGAGAGGGAACCAGTGGGAGTGGGCTAGAGAATGGTAAGCCTGAAATTCTGATTTTGAGGGGGTGAAGAAATAGAATGACAGCCCTAGGGAGTGGTGCCTGGAGTGAGGGGCTAAGATGGGGTTGAAGGAAAGATCTCAGGATGCCAGCAAGTCAAGGAACTGGTGGAGAGGCCTGGAGGTTGCGCGGGCCATTTGCCTGATTATTGAAATGACCTGATATTGATGTCGGACCTGGAGAGAGGGAGAAGGTATGGAGCAGTGGACGAGGTTCTAAATTTTTCAGAAAATAGGAGTGACCGGTAAAACCTCACCGTAAGGGAGGGTGGGTTGTGGTCGAGTCTGGAGTCTGATGCTATGTGCATTTAAAATTAATATTTTCATAAGTATGTAAATAAACATCAATAACCATTAATATCTGCCAGAACAGAGGTTACATCAGACACAACTAGTTTATATTAAATGAAAAACACCAAAAATATTTTTATATATTTAGCAATGAACCCAGAGAGCAACTTTCTATCATGACCATTAATGTTATTCTTAATCCTACAGGATGAATAAGAGATTTCCAGATTCAGAAAGTGGCCAGTTACCTTCCAACTTGAGAACCAGGAGGGGATTAAATATGAATACCAATGAAGCCTTTGGAATGGACCTGACCAGTAGTAATTACCTATTGAAAGTCGTGAAGAAGTAAAACTAAAAGTGACCCGGTATGAAGGAAAAATTCAAAGTCTGCTTTGCCACTTTTCTTTATACATTGTCTTAAACCAAAACCAAAACCAAACCTAACATTTATATCTAAGGTCACCTTGATCTACACTGGTTTTCCCTAATTTGTAGGCCAGTTATTTTTTCTAGTATTTCTTAGAGGAATCTTGTGTTAACATAAACTCTGCTTCTGGATATTTTAAGTACTGGGGGAAAGATGTAATAATTGAAGTTGGGACAACTGGCTGACAATATTTTTGTAATCAAAATGTATGTATGTATTAAGATGCCAAACCCAGAAGCCATAAAATTAAATATATTTGGTCACTTAAACCCAGCAAAATTAAATGCATAAAACTTAAACAAGGTTTAACTTTTTAACCTTAAATAAGGTTATTTTTAAAAAATTTTTATTTAAATTCAATTTAGTTAACATACAGTGTATTATTAGCTTCAGGGGTAGAGTTAGTGATTCATCAGTTGCATATAACACTCAGTGCCCTCCTTAATGCCCACCACCCAGTTACCCCATCCCCCCCAACCCATCTCCCCTCCAGCAGCCCTCAGTTTGTTCTCTATAGTTAAGAGTCTCTTATGGTTTGCCTCCCTCTTTGTTTTTATCTTACTAGAAGGCAAAAGACAAACTGAGAAAATTAGTTGTAACATGTGGGATGAAAAAAGAATACCCTTAATATATAAAGAGGTTTTGTAAAACAATAAGAAAAAGATAAACCATATCTTTTTAAAAGGGCAAGAGACATGAATATGAATAGGGATTGAAGAGAAAAGAAATGGCTAATGAATATACAAAAAGGTATTTTGACTTCTCAAGCACTGTTAATGAGAATGAAAATTAGAATGGTATCGACTTTTTGGTTGTCAGCTAACAAATTTTTATCAAAATCCCTAATATGTGTACCCTTTGATCTAGCAATTCCACTTCTAGGAATTTATTCTAAGGAGATGAGGTGACAATACCCAAATCACAAGAGTGTCTCAGCATCAGTAACAGTAGAAAAACATTTGTATGTGTCAGTAGTCATGAAAAGAAACATCCAACAGATTGCTGAATGAAACGATTATGTTATAAAATGGCATGTGTAGTTTTGATTATATTTATGTAAAAATATATGTTCAAAATGTATATGGGTTTGTGTGTATGTGTGTGTGTGTATGTAAATGTCCCAACTGATGCCTGCAAGGATGTTTCCCAACCATGTGAATGGTGATTATATTTAAGCAGGTGAATTCTGATCATCTTTACTTTCTAGTTTATGCTTTTGTGTATTGTTTCAATTGTGTATGAGGACTGTTTACCACCCTAGTGATTAGGTTATCACTCCTTAGGGTCGTTGTTCTTGCTCTCCCCTCAACCTGGAACACCTTTTACCCCTTTCAGTTCTTGGCTGTAATGTCCCCGATTGGAAGGGTCTGCATTTACTACCGTATTTGAAATGGAAACATCACCGCTCTGTGCCCATGCTCCATCCCTCATCCCTACTTTGGTTTTCTCCGCTATACTTGCCACCATCTGTTTTAATTTATGTTTGTTTATTAATTTATTAGTTATTGTCTGACTCTTCCTCTCTCCCACTGGAAAGTAAACCCCATAAGGGCAGGACTTTGTTTTGTACTGAACTGTAACCCCAGAGCTGGGAACGGTGCCAGTTACAATATCAGGTACTTAATACATGCACATATATATGAATCATATATCCTGTACCTATACTCTAATTCCTTACAGGAAAATCCCTGAAAAGGCCTTGATTAAAAAGGAGGAGAATGATTAACTTATGAACACTTCAAGTGTTACCTTACATTCAGGTTAATTTCTATGTTGAATTTTACTTGGCTAAATAATCTGAAGTTTAATTGAGCTCTCAATGTGGGGGCGGGGAGAAACACATTTTTTTTCTTCCAGATCTTTGATCATCTTTGAATCAAATTAAGTGCTTTGCTCCTAAACTGCTGAAAACCTATTGCTCACAGTTCCATAAGAATCCAAGAAAGAACCTATAGAAATTTCAAAGTGGCAGAAACTGTGATCTTCCTTTTCCCCATATTTTGGAATACAGTTTTCTTGGCCAAATGGAGGGACTCTGGGTGTCCCTCTGCTGACACTGGAAATACGAATCTGATGCTACCTTCCACCACCGCAAACCCAGGCCTCAAGGAAAAGGGCCCATCCCTCCATCCTCACTGTGGCAGATACTATCACTTGGATGATTTGATTTCATGGTGCTGGTGATCTTATTTAGGATATGGTTGGGGGGGGACCCTCCAAGTTGCACTTACCTGTTTATTTCTCAAGGGCTGAACCACTTCCCTAATGCACAGCTCGAGATCATTGAGGTAGTCTTTTTCCGTCTGTATCAGCTCCTTGATGATTTTCGAACGCTTTGCCATCATTCTCTGCATCTGATGCTCCTCCTGAGTTAGGGTCTCAGTGGCAGAAGCCCCGGCCTGTGGAGTCATCTTTTCTGTTAAATAAAAACATGCGTGTACAAGTAAGACATTCTGCTGTGGTTTCTTGTTCCATCATTACAAACACTGTTGGATTGCTGTTAGCAAGGAAAAAGGCAAAGAGTGTCTTCAGAGTATGTTCTTAGGAAGAAATGTGTGGTAGTTTGCCCTAAGGTTGGAATCCTATGAAACTATGAGCAACAAGGGACATGAGAATAGATACTTCTGACAAGTCAGTTGAATGACACTTGATTGTCAAGGCTTGTTTTTAAAATATCCCTTTGTTACTATATTTAGCTATAAATCTGGTCTTCAGGCTGGAGATAAAAATGTATTAAAATCAGTTCAGAAATTCTTCTGGGGCGCCTGGGTGGCTCAGTTGGTTAAGCGACTGCCTTCGGCTCAGGTCATGATCCTGGAGTTCCGGGATCGAGTCCCGCATCGGGCTCCCTGCTTGGCAGGGAGTCTGCTTCTCCCTCTGACCCTCCTCCCTCTCATGCTGTCTCTCATTCTCGCTCTCAAATAAATAAAATCTTAAAAAAAAAAAAAAAGAAATTCTTCTGGATACACTGGCTTTTAAATCAAGGGATGATTTTTAATTAATAAATGGAACGCCTTCCCATTTTGCCCCTATTATTAAAAATAATTGCCCTTCTTCGCTCATATGTGGAATATAAGAAACAGTGCAGAGGATCATAGGGGAAGGGAGGGAAAACTGAGTGGGAAGTCTTCAAGGAAGAAGAAACCATGAGAGACTCCTAACTCTAGGAAACAAACTGAGGGTTACTGGAGGGGAGGTATGTGGGGGATGGGGTAACCAGGTGATAAGCATTAAGGAGGGCACATGATGTGATGAGCACTGGGTGTTAAACACAACTGATGAATCATTGAACACTACATCTGAAACTAATGATGTACTATATGCTGGCTAATTGAATTTAAGTTAAAAAAAATAATTGCCCTTCATTCTTAGTGAGTAATACGCAAGGCTCAATGAAATGGAAAACAATTGCACGTGAGTGGGATTTTTCTTTCAGTTTATAATCTGAATCCATGAGGATTGAATACATGTCAACCAGGATTTTTCATGGCCCATCTTCAATATCATGCATATTTTGTTATTTCAAAATTCCTGAACTGCCAAACAGAAAATTTCAATTTAAAAAAATCACAGTGCTGAGGAGATCCTGAGATAAATGAGAAGCCTCACACACAGCCAAGGTTTTATATAAAGTATAATGTGAGAAAGCTAAATGTCTTCAAGAATGAGCTTCCCACAGCAATGTAAAATTTTGGAAGCTACAAACTAGGTCACAGATGAAATCAGAGCAGTGATAGATAGTAGGGCAGTGTGCGTGTGTGTGTGTAAATGAATTTTCTTCAAGCTTAAAGTCACCGCAAACTTCATGTTCATCTTGGGGTCTGCCGTAGCAGAAGTAATTTTATTTCCTTTAAAGCTAATGTGATTCTAGTAACTGATAGGTGAGACATCTTCAATGCTGACACCACCTCCTGAGAATGTAGAGCTTTACAAAAGGGCTTATAAAGAGTCGGTATGGGAAAAAAAAGTACACAGGTCACAGTGTATGGAAATGGAAATAAAGAGAGGATATTCTCTCAGCTGACTCCAGAAACAAGGCTAAGACAACTGGAGAATTGTTATAGTAGGGGGCTCAACGTAATGGCTCAACATAAAGAGACTGCTCCTAGAGTGTGAAGAGACACTTCAGAAGTAATGAGTACCCCTCTCTCCCTGGCTGCTCATGCCAGGAGTTCAGGCAGAGGTTCCATAATCAAACATCTGTGGAGGATGCTGTGAAGCTATTTCCAGCGTTAGTTTGAAAAGTGCCCTAGATGGGTCTTTAAGCAATCCTGACTTGCAGGTGAATATGCTTCCAGACCATTTGCCCAGTAACTATTCTTCCTTCGTCAGGAAAGAAGATGGATTTGACAAATGGCATCTGAGAGCACACAGTTTTATGAGGCTTGAGACAAAGAAATAATCTATGTAAGTTCTATAAGAAGAGAAAATCTCTGCAAGGAGAGAGAAGGAATGCATGAAGTGGTCTGTGGCTTTCGTATCTTGAGTTATGTTTTGAGATGTTATGAGAATTTTGGGATGCTTGCAAATATTTTTATTGGAAAGTAGAAGAAGCCTGCCTCTTAGCACCCCAAATTCGAAAGGAAAAGTTACAGTGAAGCATCTTTCCTGTGAATTATTTTGGATCTAAAAGAGGAAGGCAGGTCACTGAGGAGGAGAGATGCAGTGAGCAGGTTGTATATACAACTTGACCTTTGTGAGCCTACTTGACAGGGCAGAGAGGGGAACGATGGGGGTTCAGTGGGGGTTCTTTTCTCCTGGGACATATGAATTAGCTCATAGAAAGAAACCTCACTAGTAGAGAGCTGACAAACCAGTTCAGATAGTATCCAGTAATTACCTAACACCTTGAAAATAAAAGGGACCCTGTTGAAAAACTGTTTTGACTGATACCTGCTTTTCCAAGTTCTAAAATTTTGTGCCTTATAAAATAATCTGTCAACGATTTGGGGGCCTAGCAAGGAGAAAGGAGTCTTTCCTAAGCGTTGGCAAAGAAATATCCTTAAAATACATTCTTAGGTTCCTGTTAGTTCTGAATTCCAGGACTCAATTACTATATCAATTCAACATATTTCACAGACTTTCCAGTTACTGCACTTTAAATGTCCAACATCAGATTTTATCAATTAAAAACTGCTTAGATTTTCTAGTGTGGCTCCACAATGTGTTCAGAACCAAGTTAGGGGTCACAGTGGTGGAAATCAAGTGTCAGTCAAGATATTCGTCTTCAGAAACTTCTCCCTTCAGGTATAAAAGTCTTCTCAGAGAATTTGAAGTTGAGCAACCTTATGAGATCCCTTTTGTTTGCTCTTTTGACGCAAATTTACTGCAGAAACAAAGGCCTGTCTTGCATCATTTCATGGTCAGATCCCTAAACACGTCCCATATTTGCCTTTCTTAAAGCAACAAACTCTTCACAATGCACTATGGGCACAAGTTTTATTTTTATAAGATCCTTCTCTATCTTTAAAACTTGCATCTTTTAGTTATACCATGTTTTATAAAATTATTTGTAACACATGATTATTACTAACGTAGATCCCCCACATCAGCAGTCAGCTATAATAACCTTTTCTTTCTAGATACAGCAACAGAGGAGCTAAGTATTTAGGAAAAAAGGAAAAAGAGAGTTTTAGAAATAAATATTTTCTAGTAGCATAAACTACAAGACTATGTCAAAATTAAAGTGAGACAGGCCCAAAGGCTATTTAGATGGTTTTAATCAAAATATGTCACTGAGGAGGCACCTGGGTGGCTCAGTTGGTTAAACGCCTACCTTGGGCTCAGGTCATGATCCTGAGGTCCTGGGATGGAGCCCCACATCGGGCTCCCTGCTCGTGGGGAGCCTGTCCCCCCACTCTTGCTTATGCTCTCTCTCTCTCAAATAAATAAATAAAATCTAAAAAAAAATATGCCACTGTGCATGAAACGGTTGTGTGTAAATGGCATGCCTTTTTTATCCTCTATTTCTTTCACTCTCAAGCTTCATTTTTCCAGCAGTGATCATCAATTTTCACTATTCTAGGCACAGATTTCATTGGTAACATATGTGGAAATTCCTGACAGAGGAAGTTTATATAAAAGGAGGTGGCTGCAGTTTGGGGAAAGAATAATCAGACTTAGTATCAGCTCTGCCACTCTTAGCAGCAAGAACATGGTGGACAAGTTAGTTATCCTCACGGGGTCTCAGTTTTCTCATCTGTAGAATAGGAATAAAAACCATCATAGCATTATCAGGAAGACTGAACTAAATGAGCAGCTGTATGTGGAAGCTCCTTGGGATCTTCAAAACAACCTAAGTATTAGTTATTTCTATAGACATTGGAATGCTAGGTTCCATTTCTCTACACTCTCAAACTTTTTCACCACCTCGGGCAAATAACTATCTCATTATCTTATAGTTATCAACTTGTCAAGAAAAAGGCATGATTCTGAAGTATGGGGACAGATGAGAGAGAAGTGGAGAAAAAATAGGGGTGCTGCTCTTGGGGGAAATTGAGAATCAAGCTGGGGTTTGGAATCCTGAGCAGCTTCCCTGGGTTGGGTGTATGTATGGGGAGAACCTTGGTTTTTAGGGAGATGAAAAGGAATCCAAAGGTAAGAACATAGTTGGGGAGGTCTGAAGACAATCTGCAATGATAACCCAGTTTTGCTTAGAGTTCATGTGTGCCCTTTCTGCTTTGTTGCTGTTGCTACTGTTACTGCTCCTTTGGGGTGGATTTTAATTTTTTTTATTTTTGTAAAGATTGTATTTAGTTTATTTGAGAGAGAGAGAGTACAAGCAGGGGGAGGGGCAGAGAAAGAGGGAGAGGGAGAAGCAAACTCCCTGCTGAGTACGGAGCCCGATGTGGGGCTCGATTCCAGGACCCTGAGATCATGACTCGAGCAGAAGGCAGACGCTTAATGGACTGAGCCACCCAGACGCCCCTTTGGGATGGATTTTAAAAAGAGGTAATTGCTTTATTTTTTTTATATGATAAAATAATACATACTGTAGGAATCAAGTGCCCAGACTGTGGACTAAACTTTCTGGGTGTAAACAGCACCTCTAATATTTATTAGATCTGTGGCCTTGGACAAGTTATTTAACTCTTTTTGTGTCAACTTCCTTATCTGTAAATTAAGGGTAACATTAATAAAACCTTATAAAGTGATTATGAAGATAAAATGAATTAATGTTTGCTCAATACAACAGTACCTGGCAATATTTAATATTGTAGATATTGTGTATGTGTTTGCTATAATTATTAAATGTAATCCTTATTTATTATCCGTAATATAATTTTCACTGTATTATTAGCTGTATTCCTGTTTAGGGTATAACTTTTCCCAAATATTTCCATGTACATTTCCATAATTTCCATATTTCCATGTACATACAAACATAAACAGTTTTGCTTTTTTCGGTTTTTGTTT